ACACACTGTAACACACTGTAACACACACTGTAACACACTGTAACACTGTTAATAAGTGTCTGTGTGTGTGTGTGTGTGTGTGTGTGTGTGTGTTGGCAGCGGACTTTGGTGTGTCAGCTCAGATCACTATGACCATCGCTAAGAGGAAATCCTTCATCGGGACTCCGTACTGGTACCAACCTTTCTCACCTCCTCTTTCACCTCTCCTCTCCTCTCTCCTTTCTCACCTCTCCTCTCTCCTCTGTCACCTCCTCTCTCCTTTCTCACCTCCTCTCTCCTCTCTCACCTCCTCTTTCCTTTCTCACCTCCTCTCTCACCTCCTCTGTCCTCTTCTCTCTCCTCTCTCACCTCTCCTCTCCTCTCTCCTCTGTCACCTCTCCTCTCCTCTCTCCTCTCTCACCTCTTAATCCCTCCCACCTGAGATGCGAGTAGAGGAGGTGGGGAGGGACACAAGGAGAGAGGAGTGGAACAGTCTGCTCTTCGCTCCTCCAGGTGCATTTTGGGAATTGAGACGTCCTTAAAGCTGGCGTGCTGAGATTGATTCCCGGTTCACAGGCAGGAGGACAGAGGAGAGAGGAGACAAGGAGGCACAAATAGGACAACTGAGAGGAGTCTCCAGTTCAGTTGTCTCCATTGTGACGCTGAGGTCAGCCGCCATTGGTCTTTTCCCTCCCGTTGATGTGGAGTCACAGGGTGAAGGGTCGATGATGAGGATGATGAAGATACAGCTTCCTGTTTGTTGTTGCTGTGATTGGTTGTTTGGTGGTGACCAGCAGCTCTTCGGGCTCTGCGAATGGCTGACTCTGAGCTGAGGTGGGTTGTTTTTGCAGGATGGCTCCAGAGGTGGCGGCGGTGGAGAGAAAGGGTGGATACAACCAGCTGTGTGACATCTGGGCCGTTGGCATCACCGCCATCGAACTGGCAGAGCTGCAGCCGCCGATGTTCGACCTCCACCCCATGAGGTGTGTGTGTGTGTGTGTGTGTGTGTGTTACTGTGTGTTACTGTTACAGTCTGTAGTCCGTCCCTCTGTCCATCATCAGACCTCCATTCAGAGAAGTCAGCAGCAGAATGATGATGTCACTTTAGCTCCACTAACGAGGTTCATCGTTAACACAGTGACTCATTATGTCTTTCTCTTTGTCAGAGCTCTGCTGCTGATGACCAAAAGTAACTTTCAGCCACCCAAACTGAAAGACAAGGTGAAGTGGTGAGTGTCTGTCTGTATGTCTGTCTGTCTATGGAAACAGTGATGTTATATTTATGCTTCCAATCAAGCAGCTGCTGAATTATTAACTTCAGTGAACCAGGTGCTGTTAATGAAGAGAATATTCTCTTTGAATGTCAGCTGAAGCTAAAGATAGCAGAGCAGTGACGTGAGCAGCAGACTGATTTTAATAAATCAGCACTGGAACAGTAAATAAAGACGAACAGTAAATAAAGACTGGAACAGTACATAAAGGCTGGAACAGTAAATAAATACTGTAAATAAAGACTGGATCAGTACACAAAGACTAGAACGGTAAATAAAGACTGGAACAGTAAATAAATACTGTAAATAAATACTGGAACAGTAAATAAAGACTGGAACAATATATAAAGGCTGGAACAGTAAATAAAAACTGGAACAGTAAATAAAGACTGGAACAATATATAAAGGCTGGAACAGTAAATAAATACTGGAACAGTAAATAAAGACTGGAACAGTAAATAAAGACTGGAACAGTAAATAAAGACTGGAACTGTAAATAAAGACTGGAACAGTA